CTGATGGTAGACTCTAAATATGGGATAGTAGATTCTAAATGAACCTGCCCTTCCCCTCATCCCCTGGCCTCTCTCAGGCATAATATTTAGGTAGGGCCTGCACTTTAATAAAGTCATAGAGAAAAAGAGTGTCTTGAAAGAAGATGTTTATATTATGCAATTAAAATGATTAAATGTAAACACTTATACGCACCATCATATTTATGACCCTGTTTTGGCACTTCATATTTTTTATTTTATTCTATTTATTTTTAATATATTTTATTTATTTTTTATAGAGAGGAAGAGAGAGGGATAGAGAGTTAGAAACATCTATGAGCATCATCGATTAGCTGCCTCTTGCACACCCCCTACTGAGGATGTGCCCACAACCAAGGTACATGCCCTTGACCGGAATCGAACCCAGGACCTTTCAGTCTGCAAGCTGACACTCTATCCATTGAGCCAAACTGGTTTTGGCATGCACTTCATATTTTTTAAAGATATGTTTTTATTGATTTCAGAGAGATGAAAGGAAAGGAAAGAGAAATAGAAACATCAGTGATGAGAGAGAGTCATTGATCAGCTGCTTTCTGCACTCCCCCTACTGGGGAGTTATCCCACATCCTGGGCATGTGCCCTGACTGGTAATCAAACCATGACCTCCTGGTTCATGGATTGATGCTCAACCATTAAGCAACACCATCCAGGCTTGGCAGTTCATTTTTAAATATGATGGACTTTGCAAACATGTTAGTGTCCTGGGCTTCTCTTGATCTCTGAGAGACCCTGCCCAGATGGGAAGGGAAGTCTCAACAAGGTTATGGAGAGGGTAAGAATAGACCTTACAGTCAATTTTGCCTGCCAAATAATTATGCCAGGGCCAGCTTGGTTAGAAATGCAGGTGCTGCCCTTGCCTGGTAGCTCAGTTGATGAGAGCATCGTCCTAATAGGTCAACATTACGGTTTGGATCCCCGGTCAGGGCACATACAAGAATCAACCAATGAATGCATAAATGGATGGAATAGAAAATTGATGTTTCTCTTCCCCTTGTCCCCCACCCCCATTCCTCCCTCTCTCTCTTTAAAAACAATAAAAAGCCCTATCTGGTTTGGCTCAGTGGATAGAGCATTGGCCTGAGGGGTCCCAGGTTTGATTCTGGTCAAGGGCACATGCCCAGGTTGCAGGCTCGATCCCCAGTAGGGGTCATGAAGGAGACAGCCTCTCTCCTTCTCCCTCCATATATGAGGTAATGGAGGTGCTGGGTTCAGTGGCTACAGTGGGGAAACCCTCACCTTCTAGCCAATAGTGTTCTCTTTCTCCTTCTACCTGTTAACTTCCAGTCTCCCAAGTTTTGCCCGTGCCTGTGTGTAGGATATGCTTGTGGCCTGACCAGCTCTCTTGAAAGGATAGGTCCCAAGATGTAAACACCTGCTGCTTTGGGTGTGCTCCAGGATAACTGATGTCCATGAAATCATATTTTCAGGTGTCCTGTTCCATAGTACTCCAGTCTTTCACTAACAGAATATTTTGTGTGTGTGTGTGAGTGATAGTATCTATAACCCAAATGTCTATACTGTCTAAGGATAGGTTTTATTAATATAGGGAATTTGATATAGGATAGTTACTCTCACCCCCAACATGTTTTGGGGGGTGGTGTGAAAGTATTAACTTGTTGACTGTTTCAGAAAGCTTTTCAGATTTATTGATTTGTTGACTTATTGATTAATCCTCATCCAAGGATATTATTTCATTGATTTTTAGGGAGAGTAGAAAAGAGAGAGAAAGACAGAGAGAAACATCGATGTGAGAGAAATACATTGATTGGTTGCCTCCTGCACTCACCCCAACCAAGGTCTGGGCCGGAGAGGAGCCTGCAACCGAGGTATGTGCTCTTGACCAGAATCAAACCCGGTACCCTTTGGTCCACAGGCTGATGCTCTATCCACTGAACCAAACCAGCTAGGACAGCTTTTCAGATTTAAATTATGGAGCAGTATATATCTCTATAGGTCTATGACACTGTCTCCTTTATATTCTTTTGTCCAAAGCTCTCTCCTTTCCTTGACTATATTGGTGAGCTGGGATATGTTGATTGATATTTACGGAAGCAGACTGAGATAGTTTGGCTTCAAGGTGAGTTACCTGTATATTGCCTTAGTAGACTGCCTCCCTTTGTTAAGCCAGGACCATTACTAAAGCATGTGTCACTTTTTTATAGAAAGGACTCTTGTGTTGAGGGAGAAGGTAGGAGCGAGGGAAGGAGCAGGGATGGAGGAGAAGGTGGGAGGGGAGAGAAAGAGAGAGAGAAGGAATATTATGCCATTGGAAAAATAACTTGAAGAGATGCTGTGAAGAGAATCATGTTTGTAAGTAGGTCTGAGCTTCTGGGGGCAGGAGCAGGGCTGTCTTCACCTTCTCCATCACAGCTTTCCTTACCTTTCAGGTAAAAATGACTACTCCCACTTTTATGTTCCTTCAACACATGCTGGATATTCTTCTAAATACTAATTTATATTTGTTTATATGTATGTCTCTGCCTAAGGTGGTAACCCCTTAAAGCCAAGGACTTAAAAAAAAAAAATCTATTTCCAGGACTCATAGCATTTAGTATGTGCTCAATATGTCAGATGAACAAATATATGAAAGGATTAAGCTAAATGAATTTAAAATTAGTAACTTACTAGTATTTCTGGATGCAGTCTAGAAAAATGTTTAAAAATGATTGTGGCAGCCTGGCCGGTGTGGCTCTGTGGTTAAGCGCTGACCTACAAACCAGGAGGTCACAGTTGGATTTCTGGTCAGGCCATATGCTCAGGTTGCAGGCTTGATCCCCAGTGTGGGGTATGCAGGAGGTGGCCGATCAATGATTATCTCCCATCATTGATGTTTCTCTTCTTCTCTGAAGTCAGTACAAATATATTAAAAAAAGAAAAAGAAAAAAAAAAGACTTGGCTACTTCTTCTGACTGTCACCTTTTAAAATAAAATGACTTTTAGCAATCAATCTTTATTTTCTCTGGATTTGTTTCCCCCCTTATTTTTCTTAAATAAAAAATTCAGTTTAAAGGTTGTTTTTTGATTAGTGTTCATTGAAGTCACATGGAACTGAATTTGGAATCTTTACATCTCTTAAACTGTATCAAGTTATATCATGTGGTGATTCTTTGGAAGAATTGATTAAATGAGTGAACATATTTCAGGTCCCATGAGGCTGTCTTTGGACCATTGATTCTCTAAACATAAGAATTTTCTATTAATTTAGGTTGAAGACTCAAAGGCAGAGGGAAGCTTTAACTTGTTAGTTGATTAATTTAAAGTATCACTGTTATTAATATATAGTTAAGATATATAATTATTTAGGAAACAGATCTTAGCCCTGCTGCCAGTCTCTAAAATGATTTAAAAAGTCTGGATTTGTGTTAAAAATATCACTTTAAGAAGTGAGGCAGCTTTAGTGTTTAGATAAAATCTAATTTTCCACAGGCAACACAGACTCCTTCCTGTTTCTGACTACTGGTTAGTCCTGGTGGGATTTGTTTGGCTTTTATGAATGCCATTAAATTTTAATGTACAGATCAGATGTCTTATTATAGGGGAAAAAATGGTGCAGTGTCTATTTTGGCCCTATCATTTTACTATACAAGGGAACCATTAGAGGAGAATCCAATTGATTCCAGCAAAGCTTTCATCTTTCTTTGTTGTTTCCTTTCTCTATGATGACTACTTATTTTTTGTTTTCCCCCCAATTTTTAAAAATATATTTTGTTGATTTTTTACATAGAGGAAGAGAGAGAGAGAGAGAGAGAGTTAGAAACATCGATGAGAGAGAGACATCGATCAACTGCCTTTTGCACCCCCGCCACTGGGGATGTGCCCGCAACCAAGGTACATGCCCTTGACCGGAATCGAACCCGGGACCTTTCAGTCCCCAAGCCGACGCTCTATCCATTGAGCCAAACCAGTTTCGGCTGTTTTCCCCCAAATTTGAAACACGAAGTAACTGGATCCTTACAAATAGGTGTAGTGCAACAGTTGCATTCTGTGATGCTCAGGTTTGCTATAATTTCATTAGATTTCTTTTAAAAATATATATTTTATTGGTTTTTTACAGAGAGAAGGATAGAGAGTTAGAAACATCAATGAGAGAGAATCATTGATCAGCTGTCTCTTGCACACCCCTACTGGGAATGTGCCCACAACCAAGGTACATGCCTTGACCGGAATCGAACCCGGGACCTTCCACTCCGCAGGCTGATGCTCTATCCACTGAGCCAAACCGGTTTCGGCGCATTCATTAAGATTTCTGTTACCTGAAAATAAAATCAAGTTTGTTACTTTTTAAAGTTAATTTCTATGGGTCATGTGATTTCATGATTGCCTGTGATTGTTGAAAATTCACTCATTCATTTAAATATATATTGAGCACGTATTATGTGTCAGGCATTCCAGTCTATAAACACATTAATGAATAAGATAAATAAGGTCCTTGCCCTGCTGAACTTATAGTCTTGTGGGAGATAGTGAAAATTAAACTGAGAGGGTATGATATGTCTCGTGAGAGCACATAAGAGATACTCATAGATTTAGGACAGTTTCCTCTAGTGGTATTTAAAAGTGGAGATTAAAAGAACAAGTAGGGGTTAGTCAAGTAAAAGAGGGGAGAGGGAGGCGTTTCAGTTAGAGGGAATGGCTATAAAAAACCTTGAAGCAACAGGTAAGTGCTCTCTAGAATATTTTAAAGTTTTAATTTAAACATTTTTAAATCATAACTTTAGTTGCAAAAGATATATACTTTATATTTTATATACATTTATTAAAAATGTTTTCATATAAATTTTACTTATTAATTTATGGAAAACATCTGCCATAATCATTGTCAAAGCCAGTCCTCATTGTCTAAGTAGAATGCCAAACCAAATTTACTTTTTTAAACTTTATTTTTTAAAAAGCTCTTTCTTCAGTCAATTATCTTTTAAAGATATTTATTTATTTTATTTATTTATTTATTTATTTTTTTCCAAGAGGATAGTAAATCGTTTATTGAGTACACATGATAATGGATGATACACAAGCTTCATATCCATCTATAATTTTATCTGGTACCATAATTCAATTTAGATATATTGCATAGGATGTGCCAACAATCATAAATAACCAAATGAACTCCACGACTCTGCTTGGGTGACCCTTTTAATGACGAACTCCAGGTCACAACACAGTAACTGTCAATTCAACTACACCAAAGTTTCTGAAGACAACGGCTTCTGTGCCCAAGCAGGTTGTGAGTAAATTTCATATGGAACCTGGCATCACCCTGAAGAAATTCTAGCTTCACACTGTCGGGGTAATTTACCAAGATGGCTTCAGAGCAAACTAACTTTACACAGCACATTTAAAAAAAAGACACATTTATTCAGCGTCATGATCAGACTATTACATTTAGCAATCAACAGCATGGATGCAAAAAAAAAAAAAAAAATCTACATTAAAACCCTTGGTTGGAATGCTTTACACTTTCCACAGAACAGAAACTAAAATAACCTGTTATACAGTTAGTCACAAGTACAGTCCTCGAGTTTTTTTTCCCATTCACATGAGTATTGTCTAACACATGTCTTCTTTATAGCAGCCAGGCCCTGCCACCACTGTGCTTGGCTGAGTTCACAAATCTGTTGTAACCTGTAGCTTCCCTGTCACTTCTCTGGCTCTCCTCTCCTGCTAAGCTTTGTTTCCTGGCAGTAATTAAAACCTTCTGCCACTGCCATAGCTACTGCTGCTGCTGGAACTGCCATAGCCACGTTGGTTTCGTGGTTTGGCAAAGTATTGCCCTCCACCACCATAAGGGCCAGAGCTTCTGTCTCCAAAGTTTCCTCCTTTCATGGGCCCAAAATTTGAAGATTGATTGTTGTAATTGCCAAAATCATTGTAGCTTCCACCACCTCCAAAATTGCTTCCATCATTACCAAATCCATTATAGCCAGCCCCACTGCCACCATATCCACCGCCACCACGGCTGCCACCAAAGCCACCTCGACCACTGAAGTTTCCTCCACGACCAAAGTTGTCATTTCCACCAAAACCACCTCCATGACCACCTCCGAAGTTTCCAGAACCACTTCGACCTCTTTGGCTGGACGAAGCACTAGCCATCTCTTGCTTAGATAGGGCTTTCCTTACTTCACAGTTGTGGCCATTCACAGTATGGTATTTCTGAATGACAATCTTGTCCACAGAGTCATGGTCATCAAAGGTTACAAAAGCAAAGACCCTCTTTTTGCCACTGTCTTGGTCAGTCATGATTTCAATCACTTCTGTTTTCCCATACTGTTCAAAATAATCTCTTAAGTGATGTTCTTCAGTGTCTTCTTTAATACCACCGACAAAAATCTTTTTCACAGTTAAGTGGGCAGCACGTCTTTGAGAATCTTCTCTTGAGACAGCCCTCTTTGGTTCCACAACTCTCCTGTCCACCTTGCATAGCCTTGCATTCATGGCTGCACCCACCTCCTCCACAGTGGCGTAGGTGACGAACCCAAAGCCTCTGGAGCGCTTGGTGTTCGGATCTCTCATTACCACACAGTCTGTGAGCGTTCCCCCTTGCTCAAAATGGCTCCTCAGACTCTTAACAGTTGTTTCAAAGCTCAAACCTCTGATAAAGAGCTTCCTCAGCTGCTCCGGCTCTTTGGAAGACTCAGACTTAGACATGATGCCTGCAACAGGGAGGATTCAAGCGATGCTCACTCCGCGGCGTTCAGCAGCAGAAAGGCTATCTTTTAAAGATATTTAAAGAGTAAGGGGAAAAAAAAGTATTTTTCTATTTACCCACATAATTACCACTTTGTGCTCTTGTCTCTTTCTTTCTGTAAATCCAAATTTCCATCTGGCATACTTTTTCTTCTTCCTGAAGGGACTTCCTTCAACCTTTCTTATAGTTCAAGTCTGCTAGTGATGAATTCTTTCAGCTTTTGTATATCTGAAAAAGTTTTATTTTACATTAAACTTTGAAATATATTTTCTTTGAGTATACATTTTGACAGATTTCTTTTTTCTTTGAGTACTTTGCTCCACTGTCTTCTGGCTTGCATTATTTCCAAAGAGAAGTTTGTTGTTATTCTTATCTTCATTACTTACTGCAGCAATTTTCAACTTTTTTTTTTTTTTTTAATCTCTTGGCACACCTAAATTAATTACTGAAACTCTGTGGCACACCAAAAAAGATATATTTTATTTTTGCTAATTAGACAAAAAAAGATAGGTATAATTTTTATTCATTCACACCAGATGGCAGTTGTGCTGGTTGTTGTCATTTTTTAATAATAAATTATTATTATTATTTCCTTAATTTGACAATTTAAGGAAAAAGAGGTTGCAAGTTTTAAAAATTCTTGTAGCACACCAGTGTGCTGCAGCATATTGATTGAAAATCTCTGACTTAATGGGTACAGAGTGTATTTCTGAGGCTATGAGAGAGTTTGACACAAGAAAGAGGTGGTGGTTATTCAACATTGTGAATACACTAAATGCCACTTAATTGTAGCCTTTAAAATGACAAATTATTTGTTATGTGAATTTCACCTCAAATTAAAAAAACTATATTGAGATTCTATTTTGGTCTTGCATATTGACGAAGATACATTGTTTTTATTACATGCTACGTTATTGAGACTGTGCGGAAACAGGCACTCTAATCCACTGTGGTAGAAATGTAAATTAATAACTTAAGTGGATGGCAATTGGCATTTGTCAAAACTAAAATGCTCATACTTTTGACTTAGTGATTCTATTTCTAAACTGTCTACTACAGATCTATATATTTAAAAATGATATGTATTCAAGGCGATTCATTGCAGTAGGCTAATAAATTATGGGCTAGTTATGTAGTTTTCTAAAAGAATGTAAGGAGGCTTTTTATGTATTTTTATAAGAACATGTCCACTGCAGAGAATGTGTGTGTATGATACTGTTTGTGTAATAAAGCTGGAAGCCTATATTTTTGTTTCTGTATGCATAAGGTATCTGTTTTTGAAGAATACAGAGAAATCTCATAATGTTGGTTGCAAGTAGATGGAATTGGAATGCCTACAAGATTAGCACTGTATGCCCTTTTGTTTTTATATATGTGTTTGTGTTATGTATGTGAACATACCTATTATGTATTTTAAAATTACTAAAATGTTCAATTTAAAAACGAAAGAGGAACAGTAAACAACCAGTTCTCCCTAAGAGTGATTTAAAAGCCACCTCAATTCACTGATCTTTATTACCTTCTGTCTCATTGCTCTAACGTTGTGACTTAGCTTAGTAAAGCATCTTGAGAATTAGAATAGTGTGGTGTTTTTTTTTTTTTTTAAATATATCTTTAATATGAATATCTATAGAGTCCATGGCTCAATGCTTTTTATGTAGTTGAAATTCATGTGTTGGTTTAATTTATTATTTTTATACTTGTGGAATTTTACATAATTTCATTTGATCCTCAAGACAGCCCTGTGAGTGGCCTTTTATTTGCACGTCACATTTTCTATGTTTTTAAATAAGAATGTATAATTTTGACAAATATTTTAATTTTAATAGATTTGTTCCATATTTTCTTAAGATGTAAAATGATAACATAATGGGGTTTATTGGATATGAGATTTGAAGAGATGATATATCAGGTTTTTTTAACTCTGAATGGATTGGTGAATGAGTGAATACATTTTAGTAGTACATGAGGACAAGTAGAATAGTTGGTTTATGTATTTTGGGTTCTTCTTTTAAATGAACCCCTGTCCCTCCTCTCCCACCAAAAATGCTACATTTGGCTCATCAGATCATCTATATTATTAAGCAATATTAATAGTGATCTATTAAAAACTGGTTCAGTTATTAATGCCAGTGACATTTTATTTTTTAAATATATTTTTATTGATTTCATAGAGGGCAAGAGCGGGAGAGAGAGATACAAGCATTAATAATGAAAGAGAATCATTGATTGGCTGCCTCCTGCATGCTTTCTACTGGGAATTGAGTCTGCAACCCTGGCATGTGTTCTTAACTGGAATCGAACCTGGCACCCTTCAGTTCACAGACTGAAGCTCTATCCAGTGAGCCAAACCAGCTAGAGCAATGACATTAAAAAAAAAAAAAAAAAAAAATATATATATATATATATATATATATATATATATATATATATATATTGATTTTTGATATATATAATTGATTTTTCACAGAGAGGAAGCGAGAGAGAGATAGATAGAAACATCAATGAGAGAAAGACATTGATCAGCTGCCTCCTGCTCACCCCCTACTGGGGATGTGCCCGCAACCAAGGTACATGCCCTTGACCAGAATCGAACCTTTCAGTTTGCAGGCAGACGCTCCATCCACTGAGCCAAACCGGTTTTGGCAATGACATTTTAATTAACATAGTTTTTGAGAACTGTTTTCAAGCAGCCCAGTGGATTTGTCAAGCAAATTCATATAGCTAGATGAATGAGAAATTTATGCATCACCTCATAATTTTTCTTTGTGTTTTCTCCTATTTCTTTGCTTTTCTGATTATTAAATTTCACTTAACACAGTGCTTTGAAAAAATTTTTAAAGATGCTAAATCTGAAACTATTATCAAAGATTTGAGTTCTTGGTGTAGTGTCTCTTAGTGGCAGTGTACATAGGTGAGGAGTAAGGAAACAAAGGAGATACAGAGATACAGCAACCTGAAGTAAAAGGTCTGAAACATTTTCTCATCATTTTTTGTTGCCAGGAAATATCAAAGAACAAGGCTTAATTAGCATAATGAATAATGAATGAGTGATTGTGCTGCACTTAATGTATCTGTAAGCAAAAAAACTTCTATTATATTGTAAGATAGTCTTGGTTATTTTTTAGGAGGAAAAAAAATGTGCATTTATATCCATTTACATTCTTTGTATTTACACGTGATATTCGTCTGCTTCATTTTGCCAGTGATATTCTGTCTATTTGCATGTGATATTCTTCTGCTTCATTCTAACTCCCTATTCACTCCCACAGGGTGGAAAATGCTTGCACCAAGCTTGTCCAGGCATCCCAGATGCTTCAGGCAGACCCTTACTCAGTGCCTGCTCGGGATTATCTAATTGACGGGTCCAGGGGCATCCTCTCCGGCACATCGGACCTGCTCCTCACCTTCGATGAGGCTGAGGTAGGCAATCTGAGGCCCATGCAGATCTCTTTCAGACAGAAGCCTAGCCTCAAAGATAATAATGGAGGATTGATGATTGTCTAGAATGAGAAAATATTGAATAGCTACACATATGAACTGTTCTTTTCTACGTAGTTGTTCACTCAGTTGACTACTCTGAAATATATTTCCAGGTTCGCAAAATTATTAGAGTTTGCAAAGGAATTTTGGAATATCTTACAGTGGCAGAGGTGGTAGAAACTATGGAAGATTTGGTCACTTACACAAAGAACCTTGGACCAGGTTAGTCATATCCAGTTTTTATATTAACATTTTTATGACTTGCTCATGTTTGATCAAGAGGAAAAGGCCCTCCACCTTATTTTTTGCAGAAGATACATAATGATGCATTAGGCTTTAGGTGTCTGTGCTTTGTTGTTGGAGCTGATGCTATGCTTCTATTGAGTAGATATCATTGTCTCTGAAAGCTGAATCTGCTTTCTACAAATCCTGGCCCTGTCTAATGAATTAAACTAGCCATTGCAGATGTTGCTGGAAAATGTAGGAAATACTTTCCTAGGGCTGTAATGCTTAAGGCCACTCTGAACCCTGACCTCTCAATTCCACACCACACAGCATTCCTTCACTGTCTGCCAGCTGGCCTGAAGCTCTTTATGACCTCTTAGCTTGCTTATTAGCCTGCCTACTATTATGGATTCATGGCCTAGCCCAAGAATGCATAATGTAATCAGACCTAGAAGGAGAGAAGAGCTACTGTGGCTAAATCTCATTCTGAAATGACTGTTTAGTCGTCTGAGAATTGAATATTTAAAACACATGAACAGATAGCAGCTTTTGATGCTTTAGACATATAACATGAACTTGAAGGTTCTTGGAGTGTGAATGAGACCAATGACAAGAGACATCTGATGTTTAACTTGTCAGTATTAAAGATAATATACTACCTTATAAAATCCTTGCATCTTATGTTAAATGATTTTTAAATTTGATTTTAGGGATAGAGGAAGAGAGAGGGATAGAGGAGGGAGAGGGAGAGAGAGAAACATTGACGTGAGAGCGAAACATTGATGGGCTGCACTTACCTGGGATTGAGCTCACAATCCGGGCATGTGTTCTGGCTGGGAATCAAACTGGCAACCATTAGGCGTACAAGATGATGCCCAACCAACGGAGCCACACCGTGGCCAGGGCTGTTAAATGATTTTTAACTAGCAGTATTTTCATAAGGTTTCGTAAGCAGTCATTCTGAGAGCTGATGGCAGCTAAAAATTTCTCTGAACCAGCATTGAAAAGATCACCAGGAGATGGCTTTAGTCCTCTTTTAACTTTCTCATAGTTCTGGAAAAAGGTTTTATTTCTTCAAATGAAATCTTATGCATAGTCCCAACATATAAAAGACAAAAATGGAGCTACCCTGGATGAAGAAGGGGCTACCCCGTCTTTTCCACCCCATCGTTCCCATTTTCCTTTGGTAACCCTTAAAAAGCAGTAAAACTATTTAAGACATTTTGAGAACAGCTTGAAAAATCAAAGCTTAGAACAATACCCGAAG